CCCAAATGTGGAAACCTGTGCTTCCAGCATTTCACAGCATTAGAACATTAAGAGACTAAGCTGTTACTTCTCACTGTTTGCCTTGGTTTCCTGCAGCCCACTGTTCCCTGAGTCCACCCCGTCCTTCAAGTACATTGCTAAGGCTGCTTTCAAAGCTACATTTCAGAGCATGTAGAAGGCAAGATTAACTCTGGAATCCAAAAAACTATGAAGTGCCTTTCATTAGAATCAACTGATATTAGTCATCAGCTTTAATTGCTATGGCATCTGAACTACAGAACATTGAATTCTTTCTATGTGTTAAAAGAAAGTTAAGTCTGGGCCCAGCACCATGGCCTAAAGGCTAAAGTCCTCACCCTGAACGTGCCAGGATGCCATATGAGCGCCTGTTGAAATCCCAACAGTTCTGCTTCCCATCCAGCTCTCTGCTTGTGGCCTAAGAAAGCAGTCAAGGATGGCCCAAAGCCTTGGGACACTGCACCCGCATGGGAGACCTGGAGGATGTTCCTAGTTCCTGGCTTCAGATTGGCTCAGCTCCAGCCATTGCAGTCACTTGGGGAATGAATCATTAGATGGAAGATCTTCCTATCTGTATCTCCTCCTCTCCCTGTATATCTGACTCTGCAATAAAAACAAATAAGGGCCGGGCGGCGTGGCCTAGCGGCTAAAGTCCTCACCTTGAATGCGCCAGGATCCTATATGGGTGCCGTTCTAATCCCAGCAGCTCCACTTCCCATTCAGCTCCCTATTGTGGCCTGGGAAAGCAGTTGAGGACAGCCCAAAGCCTTGGGACACTGCACCCATGTGGGATACCCGGAAGAAGTTCCTGGATCCTGGCTTTGGATCGGCATAGCATCGGCTGTTGCGCTCACTTAGGGAGTGAGTCATCGGATGGAAGATCTTCCCTGTGTCTCTCCTCCTCTGACTTTTCAATATATATTATCTTATAAAATAATAATAATAAATAAATAAATAAAAACAAATAAAATCTAAAAAAAAAAAAGAAGAGAAAGTTAATTCTTATTGCTGAAGGGATTTAGACTCCAACCTGGTGTGCCAAGGAAAGGTACAGCAAGAGCCAGTATTATCACGGCTAGACTTCTGAGACAAACATTAATGTCATTTGTGCTAGCAGATTAACATCACTATAGCTGACAACAAGTATGGGTATCTTGTACTCAATTTAAGAAAAGTAGATAAAACACAGAATAATGAAGTCAGATTTCAATGGATTTGTGAGCAGGTGAAGAGCAATCAATCAACCATGAAGGACAGGCGCAGAAGCAATCCTACAGAATCAAGGAAGATACACCAACTTGGTTAGAAGATCAACAAATTGACTAAGTGGTGATGGTCTCCACCAATCAAAAGGAAAAAAAAATCTGGAGATGCTAAATAAAAATGAAGGAAAAGGGCCCAGTGGCGTGGCCTAGCAGCTAAAGTCCTTGCCTTGAACATACTGGGATCCCATATGGGCACCGGTTCTAATCCCGGCAGCCCCACTACCCATTCAGCCCCCTGCTTATGGGCTGGGAAAGCAGTTGAGGATGGCCCAAAGCCTTGGGACCCTGCACCTACGTGGGAGACCCAGAAGAGGTTCCTGGCTCCTAGTTTCGGATCAGCACAGCACTGGCCATTGCGGTCACCTGGAGAGTGAAATCATTAGATGGAAGATCTCTCCTCTTCTCTGTATATCTGACTTTGCAATAAAAATAAATAAATCTTTTTAAAACATGAAGGAAAAAAAAAAAAGAGACTCCTTGCAGCCTATTTGCCTTCTGGACAAATGATAGCAAATCCAGGAAAAGAATTCAAACATGAATTTAAAGGTACGTTTTTCCTTTCAGAAAGCTCATGTGATGGTATATGAAGTCAGTTCAAAAGAAGCCTGGGATGTTTTCCTTCTCATAAAAAGGAAGCAAATTGTTCCTACCAAGTACCGCCGAATCAAATTTGAACTTCCTGAAAATTTACCAGCTGATAAACCCGGATTTAAGTTCAAGGATACATTCCATGCCTAATCTTCATTTTACAACTTCTGAAGATAAATTTCCGTTAGCACTAAAATCTCTCCAAGATAGACTTTCTTGCAAAACAAATTGGTAGAAGTGCGCAGCAAATTGGCCAGATGCCTTTGGGACATAAATTGTGACTTAAAAGTAAGGTTAAGAACTTTCAGGAATTATCTCATATGTTCAAATCACTCATTTTCTGATTAGTGCTTTCAAACTGCAATGTTTCAAGTATTTCTCCTGCTATCTCAAGGGTTAATACAGCTTCTCAAAAGTGCTTCTCTTCTCACAGAATATAGTTTATATTTTGGGAGAATTTGGCACAGCTTAAGTTACAGCTTAACTGATTTGTTCAGTTGAATCCAACAATAAGTCATTTCCCCCACCCATTTGTCCCTAAGTGTTTATTGGCAGGAATAGACACAAAATGCAGGAGGGAAAAAATGTATTATTAATACACTTTCACCAAGAATTCAACATCAAGAATACCTAAATGACCACTTTCTTCACGTCCTGGTCCCAAGTCAGGAACCATTCCTTACAGAATTTTAGAAGCAGCTCAAAGTTCATAACTCATTGGCCCTTCTCAGTCTAAATGCAGTACTATGCAACAAACTGACATGGAACTTAATTTTTGCTTATGTTACTATAAAAAAAAATCATTATTAGGCATAAAAACCAACCTGGATGTGAAGCCACTTCTGCTCCTTCCTAGAAATTGCTATTTTTAAGTGTGTGACATTGAAAATGTGTGCAGACAGCAGTCTGTTCAGCCACACAAACCAGTATGAGTCTCCCAAAATAGCCTGAGTAGTTATCAACAAAGGGCAGCAGACAACCAAACCAGGCGAAAAATAGTGACCGGTACCCCCCAAAGAAGAAAAATCTTCATAGTTTAGTGGCCTGGCATGTAGTAAGGCCATAGCTAATTATTACCCCACTCCAGCACCCAAATAAACTAGTTGCAGTAGCTACATACATGTAATTCAAAAAGAACTAGTCAATACCTATTGTCACCTTGTTCTGTATTCTAAAACTAACTGTAACTTTAATGAAAAGAGAAGGCAAACCAAAGAAAAGCAACAACAATAACAACAAAAACTTGTTTGAGAATCAGAGGAGCCATTTTCATCAGACCTGCTGGGTGTCCTCTTAACGCAATCTTAGATTTCGGATTAAATTAGTACACTTTCTGTGCCGTAGCACTGGGGCATTTATGCATGAAGACAAAGGCAACTTCAACTTGATCTTCCTGTCATCCTTGCTGTGGGAAGAGTCCTTTTCCTGGTTTATAACATCAATCACTCTCGCAATAAATCTTGGTAGTGGATATGGTCATTTAAATCTCCACCTGCACAAACAACAGAAAATAAGGGCTCATAAATCTCTACCCTGGTGATTAACAAATTTTGGATCCTCAGCAATGATATTACGGAGGGGAGGGTTCACTCATTCATTAATAAAGACTGATTTGCTGACAATTTGTTTAGTTTACAGCATAGGGGAAAGCAAACAAGACCCTGCTAACAAAACAAAACGTTTGAGGTTAGTGAATTCCCAGCTGAGCCCAGGATTAGAGATACGATATCTGAATGTAAGCAAGGGGGGTGGGTCAGACTCTGAGCCAAACACTCAGACCCTCATCTTCAACACCCAACTGCCAAGAAAGAAACCCCTAGAACCAGCAAGAACCATGCCAGCATTCTGCTTCAATCCTTGGCATGATCATATCCATTTCATTCAGTCTCTGCCTTCTGCTTCCCTTTGCTTTTTCACTTTCTCCCAGAGGAAATTTTCCTGTTCTTCAGGGAAGATAATCCCAGTTGGGAAGAACAGAAAAGAACCTTCATGAAAGGGGTAATTTTGCTCAGTGTTTTGTAATGTCAGCTTCCCAGGGAGGGACCTGGTTGATTGCTAAAAGGATGGAATGCTGAGGCGCTGGGAGGCGGTAGGAATCACAGCAAACCCTATTCGGGGTGATGTCTGAGAGCAATCGAACCTATCAGAGAAACTGGGGCAGATCAGTTTCTTAACTGCTAGGATTATCAATGAGCAAAACGTTGTGCACAGAGACCATCCTATCTCATTCCCTAAACACCTGAACTAGCCCTGGCTGTTGGTTGGGCACCAGCTTAGGGCACCTATGTAAACCCCTCTCTCCAGTTTCTTGGCATCCATACAGGAATGAATTATGGGAGAATTTTTTTTTACTACCATCTCTGCCATTACCACCAAGATCCAAAGATCACTTGCTCTCTTAATGTACCCCAGGTAGAGTGGGAAGATGTCAGCCTAAAGCTGCGAGGTTGTAAGAGAATATTAGCAAGAAGTGTGTTGGCGTTTTGTTGGCGCTTCATTTGTTGGGTGTAAGGCCCTGAAAAAACCAGGAAACGATCTGAACTTTGTCCTAAGTTCTCAATACCAATCTACAGGAACCTCGTCCGAAGGAAAGATGGTCTGAAGAATTGGACAGAGGGCAAGAGGCTGGAGCAGCCTTGCTCCTTGGTGGAGGAGCTGTGTGCCTATTACAAGGGAGTTGATTCACATTCCACATTGGAAATCCGGGTCTGTGTATGCGAGTTTCCCCTGTGGTTGTGAAAGGGGTCTAAGAGCTTTGCTGAGGCCTAGCAGGCCCCTCCCCTGGGCTGCAAGGATCCGCCTCTCTATTCCCCAGATAAATTCCTAGTGTCCACCAAATTCCTCAGCGCTCTCTCACACTCCTTTACGGCCACGACTCCGGGGGTGGGGAAAGCAAGCACCGATTTCCTTCCCGCAGAGGCCCTCGGCCCTAGCGGGTCCTCCTCACCATTCTGCAATCGGACTGGAAAGTGAATCCCACCAGCCGGTCCCCAACTCCAAGTCCTCCCTACACTAGGCTCCTGTTGCATTGGTTCAGGGTCTCTCTCTCTCTCTCTCTCTCTCTCCCTCTCTCTCTCTCTCCTCTCTCCTCTCTCCTCTCTCCTCTCTCCCAGTCCCCCCTGCCCCAGCATGTCCACTGGCTCCCTCAGCGATGTGGAGGACCTTCAAGAAGTGGAAATGCTGGATTGCGACGGGCTGAAAATGGACTCGAACAAGGAGTTTGCAGCTTCCAACGAGAGCACAGAGGAGAGCTCCAATTGCGAGAACGGGTCTCCCCACAAGGGCCGCGGCGGCCTGGGCAAGAGAAGGAAGGCGCCCACCAAGAAGAGTCCCTTGAGTGGGGTCAGCCAGGAGGGGAAGCAGGTCCAGCGCAATGCAGCCAACGCGCGCGAGCGTGCCCGCATGCGGGTGCTCAGCAAGGCCTTCTCCAGGCTCAAGACCACCCTGCCCTGGGTGCCCCCAGACACCAAGCTCTCCAAGCTGGACACGCTCAGGCTGGCGTCCAGCTACATCGCCCACTTGAGGCAGATCCTGGCTAACGACAAGTACGAGAATGGTTACATTCACCCGGTCAACCTGGTGAGTTCTCCCTCGCGCCTGGGGTGACGGCGGCGGCGGGCCAGGCGCGCCCGCGGGGCGTGCGCGCGTGCGTGCGTGCGCGTGGGGCTAGGTGCTGGGTGCCGGTGCCCCAGTGGCTTTGAACTTCTCGGCTGCTGCGGGCCTCTTGCCGCCAGGGAGTGGCTGCAGACGCTCCCCACTGCGCGCCCTCGCTCTCTGCCTGAGCAGCCGTCCCAGCGGGAGTGATTTATGCGAGGCTTTGACGTGGCAGCTCAATTAGGGGGTTGCCAAAGAGGAGGGGTGCCCAGCGCCCATCCCCGCCGGCTTAAAGATGCTGACTCTGAACAGGAAACGGCCAGGATGCTGTGTACCACCGGGCGTTTCTGTTATCTTTTCTGTCCTCTTTTAGCTGAAAGTAAAACTTGATTTGGGCTTCTAATTCTTGTATGAATATCCAGCTCAAGTATGGTTTTTTTTCTCACCCAATATTTCGAACCGTTGCCTACCGACTCGTTCCCCCTCCCCACACTATCCCCCCAAAATGTCCCCCGCGGGCTGAAATGTATAGCTTAACATTTTTAAATCCCAGAAGTAGTAGCCAGTATCCGCATAATCAGTAATTGCTCACAAATATTCTCGTAATAAGTAGCACGTCACTCATCTGAGAAGAAAATGTTACCTTTTCTATGTTAACAGGCGATGCCCGCCGAGTCTATAATCGAAATGCCTGCAGTGGATTGATTCAACCTATTATTTTCCTTAAATGCATTTTCCTTTTGAAGAAGTATATTGTAATTCCCCTTTTCATGTGACTTCGTCTTCAAACACCAGGCTTTGAAGAAAAACAAGCAGTGACCCGGACCTCTGTTTATATATGATAAGAAAGACGGGTTTTCCTTGGGAAAAGCTTCCCACCGAATCAGTCCCGGGGACTTGGGGAAAGGGAGTGTAGAAACACAATCTACATGGAAAGGGTTTTGCATCCAATTAAGGGTGTTTATTTATCTATTTGTTTATTCAATGGGAGGACTAATGGCTTTTCTTTAAAAATTCGAACTAAAACGAAAGTGCTACCTTTGATAATACTGCTGGTTTCATTTTGGAATAAGAAGCTCCAATGGACTTCCTTACAAAATAGCCTCCCAGAGAAAAGAAGAGAAAGTGATGTTTTCTGGGCCCAGTAGGAAGATTTTGCACAAGAGGCCCGTGTTATCTTCTGGTACTTTTTTTTTAAAAAGAGGTGCTGATTAACTTAGAGACTGGGGTTGAAGCTCGAGTTTATGGCGAATGAAATGCAAGTAGGGAAATTGCTTGGGGCAGGGAGAGGTTCCAAGTCTAGGGGTCCCGCCCGGCGCCTCTGCCGAGCGGCCTGCAGGGAGTGCGCTCACGGGGACCGCGCGGGGTTCTCGCGGAGGTCCTGGAGCTCCCCAGTCCGGGCTGGGCCACCGCACCAGCCCCTCCGGGCTCCCGCAGCACTGCCCCTCACGAGTTGCCTTCTAGCCCAGCGTCAACCCTGAGTGTTGCTGTTCTTCTAAAGGCCCCTGGGCTCCTGGAGCTGCTACCCAGCACGCGGCCAAGGCAGCAGCTGGGTTTTCTGCAGCCACGGGATGCACGAGGACGCTCTGTTTCTGGTAGAGATCTGGGGCTTGGCCTTGCACCACCTGCCCTCAGAGCTCCCCCTCGCTCAATCGCAGCCTCTGAGCCCACCCCAGCCCCTCCTCCACGGCCACTTACCTCCTCCACCCTCCTCTCTCCCTGCAGACTTGGCCCTTTATGGTGGCCGGGAAACCCGAGAGTGACCTGAAAGAAGTGGTGACCGCGAGCCGCCTCTGTGGAACCACAGCGTCCTGACCTTGGAGGTGCGAGTCTGGGAAAGGCGCGCTCCTGGGTGGGGGTGGCGGTGGGGAGCGGAGGGGAGGCGACCCCTGCCCTCGCGGTTCTCTGTCTCTGCTTCCCTCACCTCGCAGCCTTCCTCTCCCTATCCGACCCCGGCGAGAACACTTTACCACAACAAGGAGACTGGTTTCCAAACCAGAGAAGACCCACTGTACTTACCAAGATACCCAGCTATTTAACTTGATGAACAGTGAATGACTGCGAGCCTTGCTGGTCCAAGTGCAATATGTAATTATAAATCTATAAATAGATACTAAGAGCCTTATCAATGTGTATCTTTTGTACAATATGTTGTAAAATGTAGATCATAGAATAGCTGACTTTGATAGTCACATCTATAAAGGAAGCCACTTAAAGATATATATTTTTTTTCAAACAAGTTTTTGCTACTTTAGAAAATAAATCTCTCTTTATATTGCTAAAAAAAAAAAAAACCCTGAGCACTGATTCTTTTTTTTTTAAAATAAATAATTAATTATCTGGTAGAAAAAGTAGGACAACTAGGGGGAAAGGGAAGTTCAATCAATCAAAATTGTTGTATGAGGCCTCGACGCACATTTTCAGAGAAGCAGAAATTGCCATCGGGAAGATGCAGGTCGTGTTTTGCACTGAAACCTTAAACACAGACTCCTGGAAGCTTGCTTTTAGACTGTGAGAAGTAAGGTCGCTGTGAACAAAGACTTGGTAGGGTTCGAGTTACAGTTTCACAGTTCAGAAGTTAAAATACACCAGAGAAATTAAGTGCGATATTCGTGTGTTCCGCAGGATCATTGTTGCCACGGGCAGGAAAATAAATGCCTCGTTTTATAACTTCACAGGCGTGGAAAGGTCCCGAACAACCCACGGTTGCAAAACTAGTGAAGAAATCGCAGGAGTCATGAAAGACGCAAATCCCACAACCCTTGGGCGTGTGTTTCCATATGCTGCCACCTACGTCGTGTATTTCTTATTCATAACTTGCTAATTAGTCGTGACAGCCAACCGGCGTGCCTGCGTTTTCGGGTGCGGTTGCCCAGCGGTACGTTGAGCTCCCGCCGCCACTTCCGGCGGACTAGGTTTTAATTTAAACATCTTGCAGGCTACGGAACAGCTCGTAAGGGAAGATTAAGTTGAGATAAACAGAGAGGCGAGGCCCAGGAGCCTGGGAGCGGGCTCGCTCGTTGCCCCAGCGCAGCCCGCGGCGGCCGATGCGCCAGATGCCACCGGGGCTGTTTAATGTTCGGGGTTATGACCGCAGTGTTTACAAGACGTCTTCGGTTATTTATACTGTTATTCCTCGCAGAGGGCCTTGAAACTTCCGCTACATTTGCTCTTTCTTTTCGATTCTTTCCCACTTTTCTCGGCTCACTTTGGTACCTGCCGTGAGCGCTTGCCCGCTCCCCGCCCTCCAGCATTTACCTACCATACACCCCAAAGATCCTCCCGCTCTCCGGGGGAGCTCCGGGCCTGGCAGAAAGGCACTCCGCCGGCCCCGGGTCAGCCTTGATCCCCAAGTTTCCAAGCTGATTCTCAAATTGATCCCCACGTCGGGACGCCTCCAGCACCTCCCTGGAGTCTGCAGGAGGCAGGACTTCCCCAAGTTTCAGACCCCCACCCACCCCGTCCCACCCCAACTTCCCATTTAGAGGGTCCAGCTAATGCCAGTGTCCATTCTCCCTAAATTCCGGTACTGCCTCACTTGCACCACAGACGCAGAGCCCTCGCCTCCCCCGATCTAGAGTTCAAGTCTGAGGTGAATCCTGGAGAGATTCAGCTGTTGGCTGTTCACATTCAACAAATTTTCCAAACTCCCACTTAGCTTTTACAATCTAAATGCTCCAAATTCTGGGCACTCCCTCAGGTTAGTAACCTCTGCTAGCTCATTCTCTGAACGCCCCAAACTACAGAGGGATTAAAAAAAATAATAATAAGTGCTCCTGCCTGGAACCCATAGTTTGAAACCTTTGCTTCAGGCAGGAGACTGTGCAGAGGAAACTGGCGGATGGAGTCTTGATTCCACATCCAACCCTCTCCTAGGTGGCCCTGAATGCTGTGAGAACACTAATGGTAATGATGATAATTACGCACAGCTCTCCTCTTCCACGCAGAAAGTATTGGCAGGGCTAGAATGAAATGTAGTTATACAATCCTGAAAAGAAAGACTTTGTGAAAACATTGATAATTTTTACTAAGTGGTTGGAGGGTGACTATTCTGAAACTCAAAGTGAAAATGTCTCAGGCAGGAACCCCAAAAGGGTATCCGATTATGATGGACAAGCAATGGACCTCTTAATTATGTGAAGTAAAACACTTCTCTTCAGTGCAATGTTGAAACTTCTCATCAGCACCACCTCCACATCTCCAAATTTATCCACAGCTTTCTAGCTACATGACTCCAAGATATCTAGATTCCAGGAAAATCCAGAAAGCAAGGACAAGGTTTTGCTATAGAAAGATGCCACTGACATTTGGTGTTGAGAATGCCAGATCCCATGAGGAGCGTCCACCACAAGGCATAAGCACAATAGAATGGCAGGCACAGTAAAGTCAACGTTGACTTTGTGCAGCTAGCAGCGCTGTGGCAATAGGTAGGTTGCGGCTATCTGTAGTCTTAGAAACTTGACACCATCACCCGCTCCCAGTCAACCCACACCTCCAACACACACCCACAGCCAACCCTCCCTCCTTCTTCCGGGACACCTGTTAGCCAAGTGCATCTCCACACCCACCTCTTCCAGCACCTCCTGTTCTTCCATCCTTCCCAGCACGGTGAGATTCCCAGCTTAACATCCAGCCCAGACACACAGACACACTTCCCTTCCTTGTGTCTTTATTTCAGTGGGGAGTGGGAGCTGTGGAGAGGTAGGGAACATTCTACCCCAAACTCCTATAGTTGGCAGCAATAAGATGCAGAGTTTCCTCCTGCTGAAGAAAACTGTCTTAGAAGCTGCATTCAGAAAGAACCAGAAACAACCAAAGAAGCTGTAGATGCTAAAATGTGCCTGAAATATTTCCAATAAATGTACCTGGAATTCTGCAGGGGTTGGGGGAGGGGCCTTTCCCACCTCTTTCTCTCTCTCTCTCTCTCCTCTCCCCCCTTCCCACATCATTGTTCCTGTGACTTTGACAATCTCAGTGCACTGTACTCTGGAATTCACTGCCATGCACCTGGATGCGGTGACGACTGGAAGGTACTGTCGGAGGAACCTTTTAAGCCACCATGCTTCAATACAAGTCAGAATCCCCTGGACTGCTCCTCTTTCCAGAAATCCTGGTTCAGGAGGCCTGGGGCAGACTCTCTGGATGGATGCTGCTAAGTAGTTTCCAAGGGATGTTGAAGCTGCGGGCCTGAGGAGACAGAAACACTGTTTGAGGACCTGCTTCATTAGGGAAAGCAAAAGCGGTTCAAGCACAGGGACAGGAACAACTTGTGAAAGAGGGAATCATTTCAGAAAAAGGCTGTGTTCCAGCTGGCCTTAATTTTCTATTCCTTGCTGTGTATCATGCAGTGGAAGCTTAATAATTAAATGTCCTTCTGGACCTCAACCCCTCAGCCTCAGGTAACAGAAAGTCAGTATGTGGACCAATAGTGTCCATCCTATGTCCTCCCAGAGGTTTCAGTCAACAAGGGAGAAGTTAAAAAACTGAGTGGAGAGAGGGGAGGTGCATGGAGCCTGGCTTTCTGCCACTTGTACCGGGAGAGAGAGATCTGGGCACCCCCGAACTCATGCCCAATGCAACTGGATCGCTCTGTCCAATCCCAAGCCTAGAAACATCTTCCCCATCCCTACAGTGAAAATACTGGGTGTTTCCAGCCCATCCCTCGGTGCACGGAGAAGTTCACCCCGACCACAGGGTAGGGCAGCAGGGATGGTGGCCAACGCGGGATGAGTGGAAGGAGGTAAAGGTTAGTTCTCGACCTGGGAGAAGTATTAATGGAAGAAGGCGGGAGGAGGAAAAAACGCAAGCTCCCAGGTCTGCTTCCGAGTGTGCATCGCCTTCTCCTTCGTCCCTTCCCGTCCCTTCCCTATCTGGGTGCGGTTTCTGGGCAGCGGGTGCGGACCCGGCTGGAGACCTGCCCAGTACGGACGCGGCCCAGAGCGGATTCTAGGCTGCATACATCTTCAGGGCGCAGGGCTGGAGGGCAGGCGCGGGCCGGCCTTGTTGGCACATAGGGGCAGTTTTTTCAGCTTTGTAGCCCTCGCTCCAAAGCACTGGCTTTTCCCGCGGAAACTCGGCGGGTATTAAGCGGCATTCCCCGAGGCGTTGGGCGCCACACGCCCTTCTTCCTCAGCTCCAAGTCTCCAGCTGGTTCACGCTAGGATTCGCCGCCCTGAGGGCTCACGTAAGAACCATTTCAGCAGCAGAGGAGGGGGAAAGGGTAGAAAGAAACCGGGCTAGCAAGCATTCGATGTCTCCGCGTTAGGACACTGGAAGTCTCCAGAGCATTTCCGCGAGGCTCCCCTAGCACAGCACCCCTGGGTGATGCCAGATGCTTCAGCAAGGGGGGGAGGGGGGGAGAAAGAGAGAGAGGAAATAAAGGCTTTGAGGAAGTGGGGACAATGAGTTAGTTGCTCTGGTTAAACTGAACTTGAGCCTGTTACGTTTAAGTTTAGGTGCCTAATGGAGAAAAGACTTTGGGGGAGAGCACATGGAAACCCCTGTTTGTCTCCCACCCCTACAGGCTGCAATGCGTTCTTTCTGTTCCCAGCAGAAAGTATTAAGAAGTTGGTTAACCTGGTCTTTAGGCTTAGAGGTCTTTAGGTTTAAAGTATGCTTTAACAACAGAAGTAATCTGAGACTAATTAGTATGAGCTGATTTCAGAAGTAACTCCGCTGGTGATTATTTGTTGTCTTGCAGACGTAAACTAGCTGCTCACTTGTGGACAGAGGCTTGAGTGAGTTCTTGGGCAAGATATCAGACTTGTCACAGCTTTGCATCAGTCACCTGTAAAGTGGATATACCAAGAACTGCTTCAGTAAGACAATGTGTCTAGATGATTCCTGGTACATGCTAGACACTTGATCCGTGTTTTCCTTCTTCTAGTCATTAAGCCATGTCCGTGCTTGAAAAAAATGATATGCATTTTCCCTAAAGAGTTATCCATAATTGGAGCCCAGAGCGATAGCATAGCAGTTAAAGTCCTCACCTTAAATGCGCCAGGATCCTATATGGGCGCCAGAACTTATTCCGGTGACCCCGCATCCCATCCAGCTCCCTGCTTGTGGCCTGGGAAAGCCCAAGGCTTTGGGACCCTGCACCCACGTGGGAGACCCTTCTGGCTTGAGATTGCCTCAGCTCCTGTGGTTGCAGCCACTTGGGGAGTGAACCATAGGAGGGAAGATCTTCCTCTCTGTCTCTCCTCCTCTCTGTTTATCTGCCTTTCCAATACAAAATAAATACATCTTTAAAAAAAAGAGTTATACATAATAAACAAT